AGACATTCGATAGTCTATATCAATTATTATTATTCTAGTAATTTAAATAATATAATAATTAAAGAATTTTGCTATATCGTTTTGTTTATACATATAAGGAGCGAAGGGATTGCATAGAATATACTTATTTTTAATCTACATACTAAATACGTTGAATTCGCTTCCATTGTTAAATCAAACCTCTGTAAGCTAATAGTCTATATATTCGTAGAATATTTCATACTACTTTCGTAGTTCTTTCGAAGCATCAGACTTCTTACTGAAAGGAATAACAAATCGTATACAAAAATAATTATCTATAATTAATATTAAATGCTCGCAATTATACTTTATACTCTTAGAGTTCTTGCTTTTCAACTTGATTAAATAGAGATCAATATATACAAGCTATCCTATTCTTATCGTATACGTCTATCTAGCTCTCGATACAATTCGCTTCGATTTAACTAGGTCGTATACTTCGCAATCAAAGGATCTAAAATCGACGATATTAATCTCTAGAAGATCTTTATTAACTCTTATTTTGTATTATTTAGTATAACCTAGACGCCAATAAGCTATTCTACTGCTAATACTCACCATTCCTACAGCCTATGTTGCTATTCCTCGTAATTGTAGACTATATACCTTGAGAGCGATATATCGTATTAGCTTTGGTTTAGTAGTAAGTTCAATGAAAGGAACCTTTTTGGTAATGAATATATATCTAATTAGTATACTATCTGTATACTTTAGTATCAAATTATTTTGATTCTATATAATCCTATAGAATTAATTTAGTATTGTTATATTGAGTAGATTAAATTGATTATTAGATTTGTAGAGAGTATTAATATAAAGATTATATCGACTACTATCAGATTTCTACAAAGTAATACAAATCTAATCTGAACCTTTTAAATAAGTTGTTTAACTGCTATTTATATTTTATCTAATACTCTTTCTGAAAGTGAAAGTAATAAATAATATCCGATCAAAATAAATAATAAAGAAGACGTTTAAATTAAATATCTATTCTTTTTTAGATCGTAGAAGTCTTATATTATAAGTAGATATAGTATTTATAGCTAAATTATTGGATATTGTAGTAAACCTACTAAATTTATTAAAGCTAAATATTAATAAAGTATTATTAATTATATTGGTAGTAGTAGAAGTATTCTGCTATTTAATATATTTAATAGAGGATCTGTAATTCTAAGAATCTTTATTCATTGTATAAGATCGATCTTTAAATATATTTTTATTACTAGAAATTAAATTTGTTTTCATGAAGTGAAGCTTATAGATTTATATACTAGAATTAAAAACCCATCTTTGTAAGCGTTTGTTAAGTATTAAATGATAGTATGTTTTTACTAAATAATAAATTTAGAAACAGTAAGAGTATAGCCTCTTAGTAGCTAACGTTTTTAGCTACTTTTTTATTTAATCCTCTTATTTAACCCTCTTAGATAGTTCATTTAAGTGTTGGTTAAATTAATTTAAAGTAGTAGTTGTAGGATTTGTGATGCTTTACTTGTTTGAAGCAAAGGCTTTCTTTACTATTGCTACATCTACAAAACCAGTCTACTCTTCTATAAAAATAATTCGATCGAGAATACTTATATAGTCGGTAAAGAAGTTATCTATAGTATATATATATACTGCATTGTAGCTCCTCTTATAGAATTATAATAATTTGATGTTCAGAAAGCTTTCTAAATATAATTATGTTCCTAATTTATATAAAACGAATACTATTAAATAATAAAAATTTATTTTAAAACTAATATTAATTACTTAAGAATTCTAATACTACATATCTTATATAAAAGCTTTTATATTGGAGTAGAAAGTACGTCTGAGATTACGGAAGGTTATAAGTACTTCGTTTATTCGAATAGGGCTGGTGCTATATAAATCGATACGTAGAAGCTCCATGAATTTGTCTACAAATTTAGTTATTCTTCTATAGATCTAGATATTAGTGATAATATTAAGATCTATATTAATCGCTAACTATATCCGTATAGTTTTTAATAGAATATATCATCTACAAGTCTATAGTATATTGAGTACAAATCTTGGAATCTTCGATTCAATTAAATTATGCAGATTCAGAGATTTAAAGATGTTTATAATGAAGCAATGCTATTCCTCAAAACTATCTTTGTTGGAAAGTTAAGTTCGAAGTTTGTAAAGGATATATAAGCTGGACTTAAGTAGATCGTCACTTTGGTTTTTGGTAGCGTCAATTTTAATTTGTTTGTTGTCGAAGTCCTTCTATTCTTTAGGTGCTATATGCCTAGTAGTAGTAGCAGGTATATTACTAAGAAACGTTGCAGAAGCTATAGTAGCAGGGAAGAAGAAGGTCTTGTCAAAAGTAAAGTAAAATCAAGTAGAAGTGAGGGTAAGATAAGGTGGGTTGACCAGGGTTAACCACCCTCTTCTTCCTAAAAAGGAAGTAGTATCTAGTACAGAAGAAGTGTGTAGAATACAAGAATTCTGTTAGAGGGATCTCATAACCTATTGAGAGAGCAGAGGGATCGAAAGAACCGATTTATTGATCTCTAAGGAGAGAGAAAGAGGAGAGGAGAGAAGGACTATGGAAGTAGGATCTTATCTACAATCGGGGGTTGTGGCAAACATCCCTCACAACAGTTTGCTTGCTATATGGTTTGCTTTTCTAAAGTTTGCTTTCTCTCTGCGTGTTTTTTTCTTGACTTGCGTTGAGCATCTGCGATATTCTACCCAATGACCATCTCCACATCGAATATCTTCACGTTTGAGACCTCTTCCCTGATATATGTTGCGATAAATGACTCAAATAGCCCTATTACACCATAAGCATCGATATTTCCCCTAAAGACCTACTTGACCCGCAGTTCTATTCTTACTCTGTTTGATTCTCAAGACCAAACATGAACAATTTTAGGAAAAACTTGAAACGGGTTAGGTTATAGCATCCGCTTTGAGAGCCCGGGGTTTCTTTTTCCTTCACCAGTATCATTATCATGCTACCCTACTGACTTCAGAAGGTCCAGTCATTCCCAGCAGCCTTTATTAGTTACGAATTCATCTATGATCCGGATAGCGTCAAGGATATACTTACGTATCTGTCAATCCTGTCCATGCTCAAGTGGGCGTGTAGGGTGCCATATCGCTCTGTTGGGGTTGCTGTGACTTGAGAATAACTTTAGAAGATGAAGAGATATTTCCCTTGGGACGATTGTTTGTGGGTAGTCTGCCATTCCAGCGCCCGATGTCGATGTATATTCCAGGTTTTGCCCATCTTCTTCACGGACTGCGCGAAAAAGCGAAGGCGCGAAAAGAACTTTAGAAGGAAGTTTGCAATCTTGGGTTTGAGGCCGATTTTGGATACCCCAGGGCTTACCGACTTAATTAGTAGTCATTCATTATTCTACTTAAGTATGTGAAATATATTTTTTTATGCTCAATGGTTGGAGTTCGTGCTGTTTCATACCCGTCGACGATCAATGAAACCAAGCTCAGGGAATTTTCCGAGACACATATAGTTTCTCAGTTTTATAAATTTTTGCATCGAAAAACATTCACAGAAGTAATATCATGTCCATGGATTATTGTGGAGTAAGACGGGAGGCTTTTGTCGACTCCTCGTGGCCTAGCCCGTCTAATCATGGTGTATAGAAACCGAAGAACGGTATTCTCATCAGGAAGACTTTGGGGACTAGCTCATCTGTCAGTAGTATTTTATTGAGAATGACGGACGAAACCACTTACTCCGTGCCAACGGACACACAGAACTCATTCCATAATCCGAGGACAAGCTTCCTTCTGGCAATAACATTCGGAGCTCCACTTGTTAGACCAAGATTCCTCACGGTCTTTTTAGAAGCAATCCGATCTTCGTGGGAATTATCGGCCATACGTCTTCGTATCTCACGGCCGGCATTGCCTGGTTGGAGATTTCCAAACCGAGACTGAGGAACGTCGTCTTCAATGTCAGATGAATTGAAGGATTGGCCTGGAGGATCCATCTCGTTCAAGACGGACCAGTGTCCGATGGAAAGTCAGTCAAAGTCAGTCAGTGGACATGGGCGGAACAGTTTTGGATGGCACGTTAGTCAATGGACATGGACAGACCAGTTTTAGATGGCAAGTCAGTCAATGGACATGGACGGAGAGATGGAGATGACGAGGATCGTGTAGCATTCGAGCGCGATTTTAATACCGAGTCAGCATTGTCTATCATATGAGGCGGCGGGCTTCGAAGGAAGGTCCATTCAACCAAAGAGACTAAAACTAGAGAAAGAAAAGAGAAAGGAAAGAGAAAGGGAGCTACTGGGAGAATTTGGGAGGGTTCCCGGGTTCAGGTGTGGATGCCTTACCCCCCAGGCACCCAACTCCCCGATTCTCACACATCAAACAAATCTGCAATCAGGGTAAAAGAGAGAGATTGCATCCATAGATCTTGGCAAGTCGTACATAGTACAACTTTAGAAAGTAAGAAGTAATTACTTACTTAAGTACTTCCAAGGTTGTCACCCAAGTAAGACGTCGCGGGGCTATGTCGTGATGCTCCAAAATGACAGGCATAACCGAGCTCAACGTGAATAATGCTTATAATTATCTTGTTTCATGATCTACAGATTAAACGCCTAGAAGGGATTGGGGGCCAAAGCCGGGTCCACCTTGGCGTTAAAGAAGCTCTACGCACAAAACCACCAAAGCCTTGTTCGTGCAGTTTACTGTCAAGATTGGAATGTCCTCAAGTTCTTAAGTTTCTATTTCTCACATGAAATCGAAGCTCTCCAATGTCACGCGCGCTCAAGATCGAGTCAGAATATATTTACGATGTACTTTGTACTCCGTTGAAGTGACACGATCCCCCATCGCGTTTCATCGCGGCCCCCGCATAGCCCCAGTGACATGCCAAGACGGGAATTCGGGGCCACTGCGCCTCGCAAAACTCTTATATATTGGATCCTCGTCCTTTCAATCCTGCAGGGTTTGGCATGGACTCAAATCAGTCAAAAATGCCGGAAACGTCGTATTCCCCTGTATCGCCGGTACCCGCAAATGAAGATTCCAACCATGGGCGAGCTGACAGCCTCTCCGCCGAGCCTCATGAGCCGCATGTCGAACGAACAAATGCAAATGAGTCTACGGATGAGTCTGCCAATGAAAAGCAACAAGTAACCCACAAAAAGCCAACAATATGGAAACTGGTGTCTGATTTATTTATCTGGGAGATTCTGGCGATGATTCTCTCATCGGGATTGTTGGTCGCGATCGTTGTACTTTTGGATAAATATGAAAATAAGCCTCAACCCAGCTGGAAATATGTCTCTCTCAACTCGGTTGTTTCCTGGTTGAGTACTGTGTCCAAAGGGTGTGTTTTGTTTTGTCTCAGCGAGGGAATCGGGCAGCTGAAGTGGGTCTGGTTTACCCGGAAGAGCCGACCTTTGGTTGATTTGGGGACCTTTGATGGAGCCAGTCGGGGGATATGGGGGTGTGCCGGCCTGGTTTGGAGACTAAGGGCAAAGTATGGACTATTTCGCAGTTTGAAGGCCTGAATACTGATGAGAAATAGACATTTTGCAGCCCTGGGCAGTTTGGCAGTCATTCTAGCCCTTGCCTTTGACCCATTCATTCAGAACTTGATTCACTACTACCCGAAGCTCATTATCGATCCATCAGGGACTGCAAATGTAACGAGTAACTCCCTCTACTCATCTATGGGACCGCCGCTCAATATTGGTGAGAACCGGTCACAAAATATGCGAATCTATAGATTTAACCACTGACAACTTCAGGGGATTTCTATCTTCATGCAGAGATGAAAGCAAACATCTACAATGCCCTCTTCAACAGTGACGAGTCCAAGCCATGGTCAATTCCAAAGTACACATGCAGTTCTGGAAACTGCACCTGGGATCCAATTGCCACACTAGAAATGAGAGCGAGGTGCACCAACATCACAGAGAAACTGAAATTCGAAATTTACAATGGCACAAATGGCGCCCGAAACCCCAACACAACCACCTTGAGCCAGTCTGTTTATCTCGAGGCTCTGGGGAAAAACCTCACTGCTGACGTGATGCTCGAAACAATCTGGGGAACCCCCGTTGCTATAGGGGCCGTATCACCTTTCGTTTACAACAACAGCATCATACCTGTCATTCAAATGATTGCACCAGACGGTGTCTTGGGACAGCCAGTATGGGGAACAAAGAATGACAGTCCCAAGAACCGCACATGGCAGGCAATGGAATGCAGTATCGATCCCGTCGTGCGCAGCCTCCGCCCCAGAGTCTCACGGGGAAAATACCACGAAGATATCCTCGACACCTGGACGAACGGCTCTTTTGCGGGTTACGAGATGGGAAGCAATTACGACTTGAAACCCACATGGGGACCGGAGAAGGGTGTTGAGAAGGGCAAAGAGCTCACAATAGTGAAGCAATCACTGTTGTCGATGCGATACTTCTTCACCAATTTCTTTTCTGGGCGCACATACCTTGACCCAATGACCCTCAGTTTTGTGTCCGATGCTTCGTCCGCGATGGGTGTGGGAAGCCAGATGACTACGACATCCAATTATGCCAGTGGGGATCTGATGCAGTTGATGACTATTTCGAATATAACTGATTGCCCGTATTCGTCTGCTGAGAAGCTTCGGTGCGCGATGGAGCATACAGCCAAGGCGATGTCGAAGGCTATTCGGGATTCGTCGTCGCCTTCGAATTTCACTACCACGGCTGGAGAGGCGATGACGAGTGCCACCCACATCGCTATTCATTGGCAGTGGATTGTTCTTCCTGTTTTGGTTTGGCTGCTGGGTCTTGTCACTTTGGTGGGGACGATGTGGAAGACTCGGCGGGCTATGATTCCTACTTGGAAGAATGAGACGATGCCGATTATTGCTCTGTGCAGGAATAGCCAGAATGAGAAGAAGCAGAGTGATGAAGGGTTGCAGAGTGAAAGGGCGAGGTTATATGAGAGTGAGGGCAAAATGGTAATGTGTGGATAGCCTCAGTTGGTTGTTCCATGATGAATTAAAGAATATATCCGTTTACAAACTAGAAACTTAATTAACTTCAATATGGTTTAATATATCTATTAATGATTAAACAGTGTGCTATTATTCTTAAAGGATAGCCTGACACAATGTAGGGCTCTTTTTAGACTGTTGCAGAGTAGTATCTAAAGCAGTGTTGGTATTGATCGTATATCTAAGACTTGCTTTTCCTTATCCCATCTTCTTTTCCCATTTCTCTCTCACTTTTTTGTCCTGTCTTTTATTCACCTCTATCTCACTTTTCTTGATCATTTCTTGATCTGTGTTAGCCCATCGGCTCAAGCAATCGCTGCTCTCTAGAGCGATTTATAGACCTAGTCTTCGTTGCCTCTTTCAACTACTTCTTATAATACTCAGGGCATTTCGCTACGGGCCTGAATTCGGAACCCCCCTCAAATCGTTCCGTCCCAAGAGGCTGTGGACCAACCATCTTGAGCGCGATGGCACAACAGACAAAAACACCCCAAGAACGGTCATACAGGAAGTCGACTTTCAGCGTACCTCCAAGACGACCCTTCTCTCCACTGAGGCTCGAGTCTCTTCCAGCCCTCCAAGTCTTTACTTTCGACACCAGGAACTGATCATTATGAAAAGGAGATACTTGACAGCAGCTCATGAATATATTGTCGAAAAATGGTCTTTGGTAAGGGCCTGTATACACATGCCAGCCACTCGATACGAGGCAATCATGGATGATCTCAACGAAGCATATCGTGATGGCATGCTAGCTCGAAAAGAGGGATGGCGTCATGAATGTCACATGTGGCAGATTGACATGAGACATTTTCAGACAGATCGATGCACTGCCTGAACCTCACAATATGGACGAGAAAGTGAACACTCTTCCTCCAGCTCTGCTAGCTCCCGCTTCAATCCAACAGGCCAGAGAGCCAGTGTTTTTCGAAGTCCTGGACCCACTCCCGAGAAACACCTGATTCAAAACACCCATATTGTGAAGCTTGCTTGCTTCGACATGTTTGCTTGCTTCCCTGAGCTTCCATGTCAAGGGTTTGTGCTCGTATGAATACCTTCGCGTGCGAGCAGGCGAAGAAGGGACTCAACGAAGCGTATCATCATGGAAGAAGAAGTTGAAGTGAAGGAAGTTGTTGTGAATGCCACAGTCTCTGGGAAGCTGATATGAGGCCTGTCGATGCAGATGAAGTTTGCTTCATCGCTATTTCCTGGAAGGACTTGGGGTCAGGCTGACACACTATGAACCTCCACGCTGGTACACTCAGGATTGCTTTGCCAGTCGGGAGAAGACAGTCAAAATCTGGGCGGAATCGACACTGTCAGCCAGGGAATTGCCTTGAGCTGAATTTCTACGAGGTTCAGCGAGAGTTTTGGAAAGAATTCTCGGGAAGAACACGTAGCCGCACGATGCAGCAGCTCACTTTCAGAACGACCAGGAGCGAATTCGTTTATACCGCAGGATTTTATCTTGCGGGAGGCGCTACGTCGGGACAGTCTTACCTTTCTGTGAAACCAACGGTATCAATTCGTGATGAAAGCAAAGAAGAACAAAAAATGAAAACGAATTGTCGCAGTCACTTATAGGTTGACGTATCTAAGTGCCAATTCCTAAAGGGTAGATCCAATACCTAGAGCTACTTCTCAAATAATGGCGGAATAGTAAAGCAGCGTTTGTGTGGGAAGTTCGTCCCGACCCCCGTTTGTGTTTGTGTAGATAGACCCTCTCTCCCGAGTCTCTCTTCTTCTTCCTCTCTCTCTCCCTGCAGTCAATCAATCGGTTCTGTCAGCTTTTTCTCTCTCGCCCTGTGGGCTCAACAGTTTGGAGTTCAGATTATATTTAATTCACTTCGCTTTTATTATTCCAGGGCTTTCTCACTTGGTTCTCAGCTCTTGCTCTCTAGTTCTATCTCTCAGACTAGCCCGTTTGCCTCTTTCTTTCCCTTTATATATCTCTTGCTGTCCTAGCTTCTTCTCTTCCTCTTCCAACTTCTTCAACCTCGCACTGCAGACATGCAATCCATCCCCACTTCCGATTTAAATTCTCCCGCATCGGAGGAAAAAAGAATGAACACAAAAACACCCCGGAACTTATTAGATCTACCGGTGGAGATTCAACTGATGATAGTAGATTCAATCTCCCCAGTAGATCTAATAAGTTTTTTTCGCTATGCAGACAGGGACTTCGAAATCTGTCCAACGACATCGACAAAAGCCTACTCGCATATCGAAACGGAGAACTGCCCGACGAGCAGCAGCGAGTCGACTTCTTGACCCGCCTGTGCCGTGACTCCCCCGGACCCGGAACTGTTTGTCTGCCACATATGTGGCAAACTGCACCGATACCAGGATGGCTATCAGCCTGGTTTACCGAGCGTCCCCCGTTTCGCCGACAAGGCAACCAGCAGGAGGGTATCTCCTGGGGATTTGGGGAGTGGTCAAATGTTCAGGACGGGGAATGGCCAACCTTCTGCCGATTATTTCTGGACTTTGAGAATGTCCAGCTGGCGCCACAGGCAGTCCGTTACGGGGCGGAATGGAAAATCCCCATCGGACCCCTTCGCACCGAAAAGGTCACCGAACCTCCAGAAAGCGAGAGAGCTCACTCAATTCATTGCCTCCGTCTCCTGGAGAGGATCTTGAACAACGGGCTGCCTCTGTAAGCACCTTCACTCTGTGAGCCCTGTGCACTCTACCATCTTCCCACATTCTCACTCCACCTGCATCCTGTGTATGTGGAGATCGATGGTGCTAACTCAACTCTGTTGTCTAGATGTCTTCCACCACCCCAGTCTCAGTTCCGGATGACCTATCCCGGCCAGGTTCACATCGACGCACAATGTCCCACCCCGTCACCACCACGGTCCTGTTCTTCCTTGCCTGCCTGATCGATTCACTGAAGATGTGGAAACGACTTGCTCGAGACTCCGAGGGCCGCCTTTTCAGGTCCAATATATCCAAGATTCCAGGGCTTTCTCACTCGATTCTCAGTCCTTGCTCTCTGGGACTGTCTCTCAGGCCAGCCCTCTTTGCTTATTTCTTTCCATTCCTTCCGCTCTTCCTCTCTCTTCCTCTCCCAGTTTTTCCCTTCCTTTCCCAGCTTCATCTGCTCAACATTACAAACATGGAGGATATCCCATCAGGCGAAAAAAGAACGAGCACAAAGACACCGCGGAACTTGTTAGATCTACCGGTGGAGATTCTACTTATGATAGTAGATTCAATCTCCCCGGTGGATCTAATAAGTTTGCCGCTATGCAGCCAGGGACTTCTAAATCTGTTTTTCGACGCCGAAGGCAACCTGTTGCCATACCGCCATGGCGAACCGCCTAACAATGAGCGGGTCGACTCCCTGACCCGCCTTTCTCGGGACAACCCCCATCTGTTCCTTTGCAGCACTTGTGGAAAGCTGCATCATACCAGGATGGCTACCAACCTGGGCCACCCAGCACCCAATCGGTCTCCCTACACCGACTACAATCAGTACGACGCACCAGACGTCATCTACAGGGACGCGCTGAGCGGGTATGTTATGTACTGGAAGGGGATCGGCTCGCTCGCCACACAGCATTGCTAAAACCGAAAAAGCGCATCTAACGCACTCGCGGCACAGAAGCTGTACTCATTCCGCGTGGGGCAGATTGTGGCAATGCCGGACGATGTTGACACCAACACAGCGCTCAAACTCGAAGATTGCGGACCGAAGGTGTCGCTTACATTCGACTCAAACGACCTGGTCGGACAGTTCGGGGACGACCGCCTCTGCCTCGCACCAGTACACCACTTCCAAAACTTCTGCCCAAACGAGGATTTCGGTTACGTGGAATCGGGTTTCTTTACGAAGGCGGAAATGGAAGAGAATGCAGAAGGCCAAAAAAGATCCTCCAGTACAGGCTTCGACCCCGCGTACGGAGGCCGACCGGACGGAGTCGCAATCGCGACAATACCAAAATCACCATCTTCCGCCCCGACCGTAATGCGAAGCGCATGCAGCACTCGGCCGAGGTGGTCTCCATCCCACCCGTCCCGGAGGATCTGTTCGTTGAATCTGTTCGGCTGGCTGTTGGTCTCAAAAAACAGTTCGCACGCGAAGAACGTACTCGCGATGCGGGACCAGCGATACAGACCCCTATCAAAACAGAACCAACGGCGACGCAAACCATCGGCCCGTCTAACAAGCTGTCGGGATCTGCTTGGTCAGCGACCCTGTATGAGATGACAGGGCTTGTTTGCTTTGATACAGTAGATAGACTTCTCTCTCTCCTCTCTCTCCTTCTTTTCCCCGTCCATTTTTTGATGAGAGAATACAGTATCTATTCATCATTCTGCTTCATACATGTATTCTCTATCACAAGCGAAAACGAACCACTCTGTTCGATCCCAGCCGCAACCTCACTATCCCTGAGGCGGAAAAAACCACTGCGGACGAATTTATAAGGCTAACCGCAAATCTCTTTCAGTTTATGGAGCCCGAGAAAGTGCTAGAATGCCAGCAAATTCAGCGATTAGCAGCCCTGTCCGACGAGGTCCGCGCAAACAGAAAGACCCTCAATACACCCGACGTACAGACGATCCTCAAAGCCCACATGCGTCTCCAGACGGTTGAAAAAGATTATTAAACGTCGCTAGAACAAGATCAGCAATTCAAAATATCTGATATAATCGTTACAAAGTTGTTCAATCGAATGCGTACATTAGTAATATTACCTAAGGAATCCAAACATATACCCCAAATATACGGCCAGGAATCCAAACCCCAGACAAAGGAGGAGTCCGAACAGACACCCCAAACATGCGGCCAAGAGCCCGAACCCCAGACAGTCGAACCCTTTCAAACAAAGGAGTCTGACTGAGACAAACAACGAAAACGAGACGAAGGAGAATGCGAACCATCGGAACGAAACGTTTACCTGATTCACCCCTTTCCTTTAGAGGCCAGGGTCACGTGACCTGCCTCTATTTATCTCCCCTCATCTTCTTCCTCTCTCTTCTCTTTCCTTTCTCTCCTCACGCAATTCAGAGATCTCCGTGCTACTCCTTCGTCAGTACTGCACCTCTATCAGGTCATGAGGCCCGTACTGAGTAGTGATCTCACCGTCGACTACTCAGCTTTCTCTATTGACCTTCTCATTGGTCCCCCGCGTCAGGACCCGCTCCAAAAACAAGGTTCAGAGCCCCCTCATTGGCTCCTAACGGATTCCTGCACTGCGAGTACAACTTCCCCGGCTGGAACGACATCCCCACAATCCCCAGGTGGGCGCCCCAAACTGCCCCTGGGGAAACCCCCTTCTTCTACCGGAGTCTGCCGATTTTCCTCAAACCACGACAATCAACCGACCTTCTGCACCTTGTTCCCGGACTTTGAAAATGTCCAACTAGCCACACAAGCAATTCACTATGCAGCAGAATGGGCGATTCCAATCGAAGTTTTGAACACCAAGAGCCTACAGCTCTACTGCAGTAGTGCAACACAAAAGCAACCCAAGAACCCCAGCTTCGACACACACATATGACCAGTCTTTTCTGCACCAAAGTGCGAATTTCTTCCGGCCCGCCAAAATTACACCTTCGCCACCAGGAGTTGCTGATCCTGGAACAAGAGCGTCCGTCAGCGTGGTCGAAACTATCCTTCCAAGCTGTTACTTGCCACGAGTGTGCGCGCACATGAACATCTTTGCGTGTGCAAAGGTCCTCAAAGACCCGAAGAAAACCAGTCACAAGGGAAGGCGAGCGCGGTGGGAAGGCGGGTGTCACCGATGCCACATTCTGTAGGAGACTGAGATGAGGCCTATCAATACAGAGGAACTTTGCTTCCTCATTGCCTCCTTTTACCATATTCCGCGATGATACACCGCTGAAGGTTGGCTCGCCACTTGAACAAAACCCTACGGATCTCTCGCTCAAGACCACCAAGAACGATCGAAAAAGGCCAGTCGGGGAGCAGAAACCATTCGATAAGAACAAATATCGGAAAGTTGAATATGAGAGACCAGGGTTGCCTGCGTCGCGTACAAAAGCAGACGCTTGTCTCTCTTGAAGAGAGAACCTGGAACTGGCAGCCAGGATGACCACTCTGAACAAAACAAAACCGACCCACGAAAAATGTTCGAGAACGAATGCGTTTATGTTGATGGCGAAGATTTTCTCTCTCCATTACAACAACCAGAAATATCTGCTATTGAAAGCCTTTTCTCTATGGAGATATGGAGAACGAAAAACAAACCATCTCCAGTGAGCCACTCGTCTATCAGACAGAAAGCCTATGAGTTGTGATACAACCGAAAAGATCAACATCAAAAAGGAATTGTTAGAAGCCAGGTCACATGCCTTTAGGGTCACGTGATTCCCCTCTATACTTCTCCCCCCAATTCTTCTCTCTCTTCTCTTTCCCCTCCTCACGCATTAAGAGATCTTCGTTCTGTGGTCGTTCTTCTCGTAGATTCTACATATCCCTCCATCAAAAATCCACCCAATCCACTATGCAGACATCAACAAGTCCCCTACAGCAACCGGAAATACCTCCCACAGAGAGCGTTTCCTCTATGGAGAACAAAGAGCATGATTACAAAAGTGGAATCACTCCCGTTCTCCATGGAGGAAGTGCTCTCTGTGGCAGGTTTTTCCGGTTGTTGTAGTGGACTTGTTGATGTCTGCATAGTGGATTGGGTGGATTTCTGATAGGTAGACTGTGGATCTCGACCAAATCGAAGAGATCCGGTCCGCTCTCTTACATGTCCACTCTAATCGAGAGAGAGCATTACCTCAGGAGAATCTGGCCGTGTTTCGCAACTAGGTCGTGAGATCTCCTACACGAACCACGAAGACTCGACCGAAGCTAGCTTGAAAAACCGAACTCGAAGTCGAAGAAAATCTCACGGATCTTCCAACCCAGAACGAAGCTGACGGCACCATCAATGATACACTAGCCCAACGGATCCCAAGAAGAACTTCGCCATTTCCGTTGGCCCTCCTGGTTCTGTCACTCCTCCACTGACTGATGAGGGGATGGAGGCCGTTCGGCAAACAGAGACTGGTGGGGCTCGGAGGACTTTCTCATGGCTATGGATGTTACTTCTATCTCTCCCCATCGTCCTCGGTCTAAGCAGCAATCAAATCTCTTCTTGCAGACCTACCGTGGACATCTTTGATACATTTAAAGGGGTAATGTGCCTCATCTGATTCTGATTAATTCCTACCATTTGGGCAGATACCAGATGTGAATGCTGATAAAGAGAAAAAGTGAATTTCTAATAAGAACGCTCATTTCATGTCAATGATAGTATGTATCATGAATATTTTCATGGACCAAATAGTCCAGAAGGGGAATCATAAGAGAGAAAATAACAGGAGCGCCACAGACATCTACCACCGAAGGACCTTGGTGGGGAAGTACTCATTGATGAGTTCCATGTAGTAAGGCTAGAGAAAATCAGCATAAGAACCATAAATCAATGACAATTTAACATACCTTGAGCTCAGTGATGCTGGGAATACCATCACTCTTGCTGTACAAATCGTAAGGGTTGAAAGCCTTGACAGCACGGAGCATATCACGGTCATGGTCGTTCATGAACTCGTGGTATGCGCCCTGGTTGTGCCAGGGGTAGAAGGAGTGGTAGCGGATCATGGCGAGGGCCTCATCAGGCAGAGTGGACTGCTCCTTGGCGATGTGGTAGAGGTACTCATCGTGACCCCAGGACAGCATAACCTTATCAAGACCACAGCCGGGACTGTAGATACCGTACTTGGAATCGAAGATCTTGTGGCCGTAGTCCTCGTTATCGACGAATGACTCCCGTCCGTAAATGATCTTCTCATCGAAAGCACAGCCAACAGGGAAAGTATCACCCACAACATCCCACTGGCCCTCAGCATCGAAGAAGAAGAGCAGCTTGCCAAGATCGTGAATGAGACCAGTCAGCTGCATCCAGCGGGGCTTGCCATCGCGACGGATAGCCTCAGCAGACTGGAGGAGGTGCTCGATCTGGGAAAGGCTGGTATCGGGGTCTGACTCGTCGATCAGGGTGTTGAGCTTCTCCATTGCTTCCCAGACGGTCATCTCAGCGCGGGTCTTGCTGTTAAAGTCGTGGCGGGCCTTGAGGTTGTATGCGACTGTCTGCTTGGTGTGCTGCTCCTTGTAGAAGTTCTTGACGCGGTCGCAGGCATCTTCGTATTGGCGGAAGTTTGTCTTGTCCTTCTCCTTGTCGAACTCGGATTCTTCGTATAGACCCTTGTCGGCGGCGGCCTTGTCGGCGAGCTTCTCGGCTTCCCTCTTCTTCATGTCCTTGAGGACGTTGACCTCGTCGATGGCATCGGAGAGGTCCTCGAGGGCCTGACCGTCCCGCTTGTTGAAGACGGGGGTGGCTTGTGGGGAGACGGCGACTGGTGCCATTGTGAAGTGATTGTATTTTTTAAATCTCCAAGTTTTGATGGAGTTCAGTTTTCAAGTCTGTCGAATGAGGTTGATTGCTTATCAAAGAAAGGCTTGAGAAGTCCTCAACCAGATCCCCGGATGGAAGCGTATATATAGGGCCCCGGGGTGCCGAGATAATAGTAGCAAATCGCGTCTAGATTTCCGATCTCAGGCGGTTGTGCGCCGAGGATTTCCCCAGAAAAATGCATGATGTGCCCTGATTTGCCCCGATGCTGCGGGATGGGAATCATCGCTGTGAAACATCACGGATTCTGGCTTCCGGACTGGACGAAGGTTTGGTCTGCATTGCCCAGGAATCACGCTGATTGGCAGCCACAGCCATTTTCAGACCGAGTGGAGAGACACTGATGTCAAGTGGAGTTACCAGGGCAGTCGAACGGAGACTTCTGGAAGACGGTTTCCGCTGCTGACTGATGCTCTTTTTTGGTGGAATCTGGTTTGCGGGGATATTTGCCCTTTTCCGACTGTTTTCTCGACTATGTATGTACATAGTAGAGAATCAGGAACGGATCAACATAAATCAGTGACAGTCAGCAATAATCAGCAATAATCAACAATAGCCAGACAGCGACAGAAGGAAATGGTGATTGATGGAAAATTACCCGACTTGCCGACGCGGGGGTATATACCCCGCGTGGGGGACTCTCGGGGTTCTTTAGTCCTTTACAACGACATTCCTTCTTTCTCTTGATTCATTCCCTTTTGCTTCTGTAAATAATCTCTCTTCACCGAAAACCACCCTATCTACACAATGGCTGCCTGCGATACTCGTTTCAAGCTCAACACCGGTGCGGAGATCCCCGCCCTCGGTCTCGGTACCTGGCAATCCCAGCCCGGTGAGGTTGCTCGCGCTGTCGCCCACGCCATCAAGGCCGGCTACCGTCACATTGATGCTGCCCTGTGCTACCAGAACGAGAATGAGGTCGGCCAGGGAATCAAGGAGGCCATTGACGCTGGAATTGTCAAGCGCTCAGACCTCTTCGTCACCACCAAGCTCTGGTCCTCTTACCACGACCGCGTTGAGGAAGGTCTGCAGCAGAGTCTGACTGATCTTGGCCTCGAATATGTTGACCTCTACCTCATGCACTGGCCCCTGGCCATGAACTCCAAGGGTGAGTTATCTGTACAATACAATCAGTCAGAGTGCTAACTCATCCAGGTAACCACAACCTCTTCCCCAAGCTGGAAGATGGATCCCGGGACATTGTCCACAGCCACTCCCACGTCACCACCTGGAAGAGCATGGAGAAGCTCGTTGGCACCGGCAAGGTCCGCGCCATCGGTGTCTCCAACTACAGTGTCAAGTACCTTGAGGAATTGCTGCCCCAGGCCACCATTGTTCCAGCCGCCAACCAGATCGAGAACCACCCCTCCCTCCCCCAGCAGGAGATCGTCGACTTCTGCAACAAGGCCGGAATTCACATCACCGCCTACAGCCCTCTCGGTAGCACCGGTAGCCCCATGTTCACCGCGGCGCCCATCGTTGCCATCGCCGAGAAGCGCAAAGTGACCCCCGCCGCAGTCCTCCTCAGCTACCACAGTAAGCACTTTTCAACCTCCCTTATCAATCCAATCCAGACTAACGGCCCCTAGTTGCCCGTGGCTCCTCTGTCCTCGCCAAGTCCGTCACCCCAGCCCGTATCGAGGCCAACCGCAAAGACTTGATCAAGTTGGACGCCGAGGACATCGCTACTCTCCGCAAGTACAGTGACGGTCTACAGGCAGAGGGCAAGCTCCAGCGCTTTGTCTTCCCCCCCTTCGGTCAGACCTTTGGGTTCCCCGATAAGGAGTAAATAGTACGTTGTGCTCGATAGGCGTGGCTCATGTATAGAGGGTCGATTCCCATTAGATACCAAGTGAAAATATTATGATGATGACCAATATGCTTTCTTGCATGTCAGATACCCGTGGACATGTAAAACCAATGCGGGGTATCCAATTGTTGTACAGTACGTACGAAGGGCAGGGCGGCCAAGTCGTTGCCCCATATGCCTTCCTGCTCCTTGATGTGCCTGTCTTCTGGCAGGCAGAGAACTGAGTTACATGAGTTGACAATCCTCAAACTATGCCGAATGAATTCTTAGTCTTGAAAAGGAAGAAAAAAAAGAAAAAATAATGCCCGATCCTGGATTCGAACCAGGGGTCTCTGGAGGACGCGCCAACACCTTCGGAGCACACGCTTATGCGGTGACACACTCCCGGTTTGGTACGCCCCACAGTGCCTTAAACCACTCGGCCAACCAGGCTTTTTACATTTATTACAGGTGGATCTTGTCACATAACCCACATCTTACAATACATTTTACACTATGTACTCCGTATCATCTGACCTGCTCCTTCGTACAGGTGTGACATTAGTATTTGACCTCGAGTACATCAAGCTCCTGACCGCCCTAGTTGCCAAGACCGTACCGCCTACTTTCTTGGTGCTAACCATCACTTGCTTAGTAGAGTGTGCTCTAACAGTGTAGAAATTACTGTCAGGTTTCTGCAAGGCAATATGTAACAGCGGATACTAGATCCGAAATACTTGAGGCTAAATACTAATGTTACAGCACTTTATCCGTACCCGTGTAACATGTAAGGCCAATATGTACCTACAGCCATATGTATTCACTTTCGGAATGCGTTCGACCCGGTCGGTTCGGCTCCGATCCGTGAATTTTACATATCGACCTGAACCTAGAGAGTAGATCAACTGATTTTTTCAAGCAACTTGTGCAATCGTTGCGATATGCATCCAATGGGAAAATTTCTCAGTGTTACGGGAAGCATCGCCCTTGGAATTGTTGGCTACAACACATGGAGATTTATTTCCTTCCACCTTGCCCTATACGGCGATCGCAAACTTGACAGATACAAATCAAAGAGTCAAAAAAGCTGGGCAATTGTCACCGGCGCAAGCGCTGGAATTGGCCTTGGCTATGCAGAAGAGCTCATCACTCGGGGATTCGGGGTCATCATTTTCGGACACAAACTCGAGGAGCTCCAACAAGCCGAGATCCACTTGAGGACAATTTCAGACGATGCAGAAGTCAGAATCGTCGAATTGAATGCGATAACTGCATCGTCAACCGATATCGAGAATGCCTTGAACGAATTCAAACAACTGCATATCACAATCCTCATCAATAATGTCGGCGGCGCAGTGTCCTGGCCATTCTACAAACCCTACACAGAGCATACCGCCTCCGAAGTCGACAACACAATCAATCTGAACGCCCGATTCATGGCCCAGCTCACACGCATTCTTCTTCTAACATTGAGTCGAAACTCTCCCTCCCTCATCCTGAACATGAGTTCAGGTTCTCACATGGGCATTCCATGGCTTTGCGCGTATAGCGCAGTGAAAGGCTTCAACGCATCATTCAGTCGAGCCATATCCCGAGAAATGAAAGCTACAGGTGTATCCATTGATAGCATTGTTTTTTATCCAGGAGATGTTCACAGCCAGGCCAACACGAGTGGTCTTGCGCCTTTTTCTCCTTCTTCCAGACAGTATGCGAAAATGGCACTGGATCGCGTGGTGACGGCTGTTCGTCAGGGGAGGAATGAAATGAGTCCATTTTGGATGCATGGTCTTTCTGGGGTGTTGAATTTCACGCCTGAGTTTTTGGTTCAGAGTCTGACGAAAACGAGTCTTGAGGGCAAATTGAAAGCACAGGAGCAGATGATGAAAGTCGAATAGATCTAGACATTTCTTTCAAGTTCAACAACCTTAGAATGCAACGGGGGCTCCGACTAAAAACGATAGACAGACGACCGCTCTGACCTAATCCTGCCGGGATCCAATTGATCTGTCTGACTTCCATACCCTGGTCTGGAAAAATGAGTTGGAATTACAGAGAAAGGGCTTTCACCATCCCCGTACAAGTATTCGTTCATCTCTTTTCCAACCCATGTCGCACGCCCTGGAAGAGAGACATCCTGTCCGCAGCCAATAGTCACATTTGGCCGTCGATGTGAATCTGACCAGAGACGACCTTCCCGGATTCCCTCGCGCATCTTCATAAAGAAAGAGTTCCAGTCATTCCCGTTGTCCACGAATGTTAAGAAACTCAGTTGGACAGATCGCACAGTTGCAGGTAGCTCTGAAAGGAAGGATATCATGTCTGATTCGCCGACTATGAATCGTGATAGCTCAAAGTGTTGAAGTTTGGGCCATTTCTCGATAGGAAATATGTCTTTCAGGGGTACAGGTGTGATATTCAGATTCTTCTGTTCATTATCATGGTCGAGGCCCGTGGTGGCGAGGCTGAGGTGTTCCAGATCGCCTGCTCCGCGTAATATTTCACGGAGCTTTTGATGGGGGAGTGACTGCCATGTTCCGCCGAGGGTGAAAGAAAGATCTAGGCGACGGAAGCCGGGTTTCTGAAGCAGCGTGGCTAAATGATTGTATTCCTCAGAATCATCGAGGACTGTGCAATTGATCCCAGTGCGAAGTAGACGGGAATCCAGACTAAACTCGAGGACATCATTCTTTTGTTCAGCGAGCGCGCGTACCACGATTCGGAATCCGTGGAATCTCTCTTTCTGCACTTCGTTGAGCCGATTCCAAGGAAGGGAGCACACTTCCTCTGGTTGTTCTTGGGCGGGAAGTGGCCATCCGCGAGGGATGGGATAATTGAAGCCTTCCGGGAATGATCGAATCATGGGAGTTTGATAGAGCGGGTTGAAAAGAAAGCCATGTGCTGCAGGAGTGACAGTCACTTTTGTGAGTGCAGGGAATTGTTTCAATCCATGAATGAATGCTTCTTCGTCGGATTTCGCAGCTAGGACATTGTCTTGCTGTCTGATCAAAGTGCGGTAAAACTCCCAGCACTCACTCAGCGGAGGCCCTATCGAGCCCAGCTTTCTGATGCTCTTGTAATCCGGATGTTCCATGTCGATCCCATCGATCCCATCATCGTCATTTGCTTGGCGCCAGAAAGCATTTTCAACACTCGCTGCGCATCCAGCCTTGAACCACATCGGACAATCTTTGATTTTGAATTTTGAACTTTTCCGTAGCTGGTTGTAAGGGTCGCCGCCTCCCTCGTCATCCTCATCTTCATCCTCATCTTCATCATCACTATATTCGAAAGGCCAGTCTAGGTCATAGCTTCCCTTATAACGAGAAATCTCAGTCTCGTTATCACTCTCCTCCTCGTCTGATACCAATTCACCTCCCAAGCCAGGAACCCTGTGACGTATCAGAGGACCCCTGGGAAGTCGTGCATCATCCCAGATAATCTCTGTGACCTGGTGTCGGAACTTCTCATGGTCTGCGACAGCCCGGAAGACTGCGATATTCAAGGGGTTGGGTGACAAAAATACTCGCTGGAGAGGTAGTTCCACTGCGTTTGAGAATTGTTTGGCAGCGAGGCGCATAGACTTGATGTCGCGAGTTGGTAGATAGGATGTGATTTGTAGCCATAGCTCCAAAGGGAGAGCAATCTGACCAGTGGAAGTCATGGTTGAGAAGATGGTTGAAAAGGAAGACAGCGAAATCGCTGGAAAATTGGGGTTCGCTTTAGCGTCAGCCCCACCACCCGGGCAGGGATGATTAGCGCCGACTATGTAGACAGGAACAGATGTAATTCATTGGTTTCCAATTCATTTACTTTGCTAACTTGATTTATTTTGATTTTCTTTTCAAAATATCCATGGCCTATTTTCTCAATGGTCCCAACTATACAGTACTCTAGATAACCAGCCCAAACAATACCACGCCCTTCTACTACTGCATTAAGCGATAATTAGGCCACCGTCACGCACCGTTGTGTTAAATTAAAATGGACCCATCGAAAAAGCCAATTCCGAGTTTGATGTTTAGGCATCTGTAATCAGGTTGGGTGGAAAGTCCAAAGAGCTCATATATAGACTAGCCAGTGGTGGAAACAGCTCCTGCTGTAGTGGACGCCGACTAAGTAGGCACCGAGTGAGTCGTAGCTGCTAAGATACCTACGCAATAAGACGTGCTTTGGGAGATTGTGCAGGGATAGTTGTATGAGCTCGGCTGAGAATCCGCACTGGTTGCACTAACTTGAATCTAGTGAGAAAGAAAATGCCTATTACAACGCGATATGGCATACAATATGGCCGTCAACTATTGCAACCTGTCTTACAATGGCACTTGTACACATTTGCCCAAGAACCCATAGAATGCACAGGTGGGTAGCTTCAGTTCACTTTCATATATATCGTCAAGGCAAATCCACCCACTGTACTGGGGGATCCCTATACGGTGTTTCGCTATGCATTAGCCATCTGCATGTAACATAGGCCTCGCTTCTCATCTATTCCAAGTTAGTACAGTCAACTGCCTCCTGAGATCAGTCCACAAAGTTATACTTTGTATATGGAGAACAAAAGGGAAAAAAGAGTGGGAGAAAGAGAGAAGAAAACAGGAGAGAAACAGAAAAAAAATAAGAGGAAAAGAGAAAGCGAAAAAAATGACTTCTTTAGACTGAGAGGAATCTAAGTACCTATCAATGTTCATGGGGTCATATTTGACTTTCGCCTTTGGATGCCCCTTGATGACCGCTTCCCCCAATGGGGTCCACTATATGGTCAAATCCTGAATTCCCCAGATCTTGTTGGCGATAGCAGCCATAAATTTCATGCTGATGATCCTTCTCCAGTGTAATCGTTCATGCAACGCCGATCCCTTCCAAGAATGTCATCAGGCCTGTACGTGCCTAGGCAGTATCGACGTACCGTATTCCGTACAGTATGTGTTTGCAATGAATGCCTCAGGTGCCCACTGTAGATAACCAGCCTAGCTAGTTTAGATCTTCTCTCTCCTCTCAACCCAATCAATCATCGTTCCAAGCAGTGTTCTATGACCCTTTCCCCGCTGAAGAGTATGTTCTGGCAAAACCTCGACCCACTCACCCCGCCTGGGCTCTGTCAACCAGTAACAGCAGTCCACAGCCTTGTCCGATCTAAGCAAACAATTGGACCAGGTGCAGTGCCAGCGCATGCATCTAAGCCCCAGCAATGCCTCAGCCAGAAATACAGAATGCAGCTCCTCCCTCTCTCTTCCACTCGACTACCTTTTTCTTTCTGTCCATTGTCGAATGTCAGTCCGTGATCAGAAATGTCCGACCCCCTCTCTATTACCGGCAGCGCTGTCGGGGTCATTTCTCTTGGGTTCTCTATTTGCAGCGTGATCATCCGCTACACTCGAAATGCACAAGGTCAAAGCGATGATATGCAATACCTTGCAACAAAAGCCTCCAACATTCGATCACAGCTGAAAGCTTTATGCGAGTTAATCGAAGAAATGGAGACTGATTTATCAGATGTTGCCGACAATCTCGAATCAAAGGCAGTTAGTCTACAAGTTTACCTGGATAGGCTGAAGGGGCCGATTGAAAGGTATGAGCGAGCTCGAGCTGCGGCAACGGGTGTGCGCTCAAGGGCTCGACGGACATGGGAAACAGCGATCTATCATTTCAAAAAGGAAGAGCTCTTTGAACTTCGAGATTGTCTACAAAGTATGGAAATGGATCTAAACACAACATTGAATCTGTGAGTTTGCTGCCCTCTTTCGTTTTCATACTTGAATATCTGACAAGAGACCAGTTATTCAGCACGCGAGTTCCACAAGTTTGGGCTCAAGCAGGATATCTTTGGTTTAAAACAAGATCGCCTCATTGAGAAAATGGTACAAATATCAACTCACCTTCAACGGAGGCCCACTGAATCTCGTTCAGGAGACGCTCCAACTTTCCATCACAGCTACCCCTCACCAAACCCTTCTTCAGAAATCAACCGCCCACTCGATATCCTGCCACGGAAATTTTAATGCTCAGAGCTATGGCCCGCCGGTCGCCTACACTTGGAAGAATGTTGAAGCCAATCGGGGGAGGAGGCAATACAGATTTTACAACAAGTGGCTCAGTCGCGCTTTCACTGCAGCATTTTCTCTCTCATCTGAGCCAAGCATATTCCCGATCGTGTCATTGCACTGCAATGCTGTTGTTGGCCCTGAAAGCTGGATGGGCAGGATGCACTATGGAAAAGTATTTTTCCATAAAGGTTTCACATGGAAGCAAGCTGGCTGCAATTTTTTAAAAGAAGTCGACGATTGGATTCAGCTACTTCAGTCTGCTGTTTCAGAAAAAAGAGTGAGGCCAACTGACGAATTATGCATCAAGTTTAGGCCCGACTTTCGGTCTCCAATCTATCTGTCCCTGTTAGACGTGAGATTCCCTAGGCTCCGTGGGGATCGATGTTTTCTAACAAAGTTGTACCAGTTGCCTTTCTCCTGCTCGTCCTTATGGGGTACTTTGCATCCCGATAATTTTCCGGGAATCTGCAAATACATCAAATTCATGTTACACCACAATGTCACTACAAACTATAGGTCACCATATTCACTTCTTCGCGGGTTATGCAAATCATTCGTTTGGGCCGAAGAAGTCCAGCATTTAGCGTCTTATATCATCGAAAGATGTGGACCGATCGACTGGGCCCCTCAAGTCTGGGTTGAAAAGAAAAACATGCAAAGTCTTCTTCGCAGATACGAGGATTGTGAGGATAACCTTGGTTATATTGTTTACAACGTATTGACGCATCCAAAGCTGTTGATCTGCCTTTAAAGTTCATGGCAACTCTACGAGAGTCGGAGAAAGACTTGCGGGATCTTCTCAAGTCTGGAATATCGCCTTCCGAAGAAAGTTTCAATGAAGTCACATTGCTTCAGTTGGCCATGGGCTGGCCTACGGGCGTCAAATTATTGCGCCAAACGCACCCACGCACCTTTTTACCGCACTCTTACCATTCAGGGCATCTGTCTTACTTGAGCATCACAGATGAAGATGACCAGATCAATCGATATATCCAGTCCTGCAGGAATTTGATTGAAGATGGATTCACAATACAGATTGGCGCCATTGTTGATGGCTCGTCCAATAAAGTGACAAGGTTACTCATTCACGAACTGGCCAAAAGAAGAAGGAATCTCCTAGATATAGCGGAAGCGCATATTCATTACAGTGTATTATCTGATCTCAGAAATGGGGAGACTGGGATTCCTGACGCCTCCGCTCCTGCAATATGCGATGCATTGACAGCAAAGGGACACAAAATCGATCAAACATTGACGGCTTTTCAAAGACGATCGATCTTTTGCTGGAAACAGCACCCAGACAATCTTAATACGATATATGAAGCTGGATTCACAGACGTGGATCTACCTTCCACAGAGGGGTTTACCGCATTGATGTTTCAATGCATGCCCTACTTTGACGATCATTCATGTATGACTGTCGCATGGATGATTTCAAAAGGAGCCGACCCCTTTCGAAAGCTTCCTGGGTTGGAAACCACAGTTTTACATTGGATCAATGCAGGATTGGGACAAAGGTTCCAAATCGAGGCCAACGAGATCCAACGAGGAAACCGGGCAGCTAGCTATTTTGACCCTTATGCTGCAATATGTCACTTGCACCAAATTGACAGGCATTTGTTTTCTTTATCAATCAAGGACGCATGTTTATGCTCATGTTCTCTTGATGGGTGTTCTCCATTGTCGGTTGCCCTGCGGGATACTGTCCATCATTTGTATCTGGGTGATCAACAGATTAGCCAAGATGCACACAGATTTCGGCAATTTTTGGAATTCCTTCTCCACCACAACCAGTCCAAGATAGAGGTGTGCCACACACTTATTAGGAGTCTCACCTTTGATGGGCTAGGTCTGAGTCACACGTGCTGCACCGAACTCCGCCATTATGAGCCTTGGGACTGTATCCGCCACGAGTCCGACCTTCAGGAAATCAGAGAAGAGCAGAAATTATCGCTTGGGAGGTTTGAGAACCTTGTATCTGAGTTTGTTTCTCAGTTTGATGCCCTCGGGCTTTCCTTGATGGACTTCTTACAAAATGCTTGGTATGAGCGGATGGTGAGATTCATATCAGAACGCGACAAATATGACCACGAGCACCACGAAAAGATTCGAGAACTTGGCATCAATTGTTGGGAGACGGATGAGATTGAGATACCACTTGTTGTTCAACTTATTTGTGACCAGGCTAGGGTGGTTGAGAGTGACTCTGAGGATTCGTGACATGGTAATCAGTTTCTATCATCTCATTGATTGAAAAAAGAGAGCTTCATGGCATTTTCGTGTCAGTCAAGTTATCCTTCCTCTAGGGCCATGTGGTTGTATATGAACCTCCCAGGTTTTCTGTTCTTTCCCTGCGCAGCCTGATGCATTTTCTTCATTGATCTGGTGTCCTTTTCTCGAATCGGCCTTTTTCAAAGTCCGCTGTCGCTCTCCACACTGAAGATGAATGCGTCATTTCGCCTGCGTATTTCCTCCATGGTCTTTCATTGTAATCCTAACTGCGTCGTATGCAAAAGAAAATGATTCCGCGCAAAAATAAAACCAAAAACATACAACAGTGAGGATTCGCTGGTGGTCACCCACCCAACTACTAACTCACCGGCGTGTGGCTTAAGTACGGCTGAGCGGACGGGAAGCCCTGTTCTCCACACCCTGTGGTCGTATGTGCTTAGATTCAGCTTGCATCAATCTATCGAGAGTGCAATTGATCATATTCACATGTTTCGTGAACAAGCATCCAGGCCTACTGCTCCGTAGTCACTTGACCAAAAGACCTAATATGAAAAGACCTCTAATCATCGTCTTGCCATACCTAGGACCGGCGGAGAAGTGGCGCACTGTCACCGGCGGTGTCCTTACATTCAGTCACCAGCTAATTCGCTCATGTATGACTTGAGCTGGAGCTTTTGAGTAGTCAGGTTATTCAATATCCTCATCCAAATCGCCGGTGCTGTGTAGTGCCAATGATGAACATCATGTTATAACTCAAAATTATGGGCATGTGCTCCAGGGCTACGAAATTGGAGGATGGAAGCCCTAGAGCCTCTCTTGCAAACCAGCCCCTGTTTTTGTCGGTTTGGCGTTTCCAGATCCATTTTATTGAATCCAGTCCACCCTGCCCACAGGCCTCGAGGCTCATCCCTTCCCTCCTTCCTCCTAAGCTCGTGGACTCAGACTGACTCTCATTCGTACGCAACGGCGTGAAACGGCTAGGTTTGCGGCGCAACGGACATAACAGGCGTAACGGGTTCAATAACGCAAAAGGCGCACTCAGGCGCATTGGACGTTCTTTGGGTCTCGACGTCGTGAGCATTGACACAGTACAGATGTTGACCACAAATCCTGACACGGGCATCTGTATAAACGTATCTGCTCGGGAATCTTGCAACTGGCTATGGTATCTCGCTCTGGCACTGCACATGGTCTCTGACATCTGACACTAACCTCGCTTAGCCTTAGCATCTAGCTCTGACCGCAGTTGACACGCTGATTTGGTCTTGGTTTTTGTCGTTTGTGAAATTGGGATGTTGATCGACAAAACGAGTCGTCTCGATGGAAATGATGTATTTGTGTTGACAACATGATCGACAAAGCGGACAAAATCGATGGATATGGTGTATGGCGAATATGGTTGATTTGATGGACGTAATGAATGTGGCTCGGAGCTCACTTGGTGGATACGGGATTGGACCTCGGTGTCACTTCACTCGGTAGGTGTAGCTCTCGGGGCTGTTGGTGGGGCACTGGGGCCCAGGCGGGTACACCCGAGACCCCCGGCGAAAGGAAACAGATGCTGATTCTCAGAAGAAACGTGTAAATGACACAAAAGGCACTCATAACCTCTTGAGCCTACAGGCGAAGGAACAAAGGAGAACGAAGCGATTCTATTCCGTGAGAGAAGAGAGAAGAAGCTAAGGGGGAGAGCGGAGCTATCTACGCAAAGGAGGGTTGGGACAAACCACATTCCATAACATGTATGATATTAATGTTTGAATGCAATTGGTTCCCCTATCCCCCGCCTCAAGATTGATCTTGCGCATTACTGCTTGACGCATGTCTGCGCATCGCACCAATAGCCTGTTCGATGCGGGATATGGATGAAGCGCTCAGTTCAACCTCCTTTGAACCCCCTTCCACTGTATATCTCCCGCTACTGAGCTCCATCAGTCTTGACAGCCAGAACTCCCATCGCTGGAGACTCATTGGGTGGACGTCTGCACATAAGGGGCCAGGCCTGACAGAAGCCAGAACCCCTGAGTCTAGCTCTTCGGGGGAGCTCAGGTCCTTGAACAAGAGGTCACCGCATTGAATCAGCCATTCAGTCACAACCCACAACCTCCACTCAAACTCGGTCGGATCTTGCGATGCAGTCTCCAGGCCGGCAGTAATCTCCCACCAGGCCAATGGAATCCAGTGCCTGAAGTCGTCAGCTAGCAGGCGGGAAGCAAATGAATTCAAGCGCTTCCAAGCTTCAACATCTTCAGAAGTAGAGTCGCCTATCTTTGAGGGATCTTTCCGTATCGTTAGTCAGGTACTCATGCACCGATCCCATAGCCTGAGAGCTACTCACCTGCCCATTTGTCGACAAGGTACATGCTAAGTCCAGGCAAGTCTGCCCACTGCTCACTCTAATAAAGAAATTAGCGTCATGCTCCCGAGGTCAGCTCTCATTGTTGAGAAGACATTGTAACTCACATCATCGGAGGCTATAATACGGCCACCCTCGCGCCGTAACTTATCAACCGTCGTTATGAGGCAATCTTGCCATGGGTGATCGATGGGCAAAAATGTTACCACTTGCACTAGCAATGGCCAAAGATCCCAAAGCAGGTCATTGGCGACTTTGCGAGATCCAGCTGCTTGGTCATGAATATATACCCGCAAGGATTCGGCTAACTGGGCTGCTCCGGTCGCAGAATCAGCTTCAGAACTCAATCCCTGTTTTAGGATTTGAAAGATGTCTGCTTCCCCCTGCGTAGCATCTGGATCATTCTCATCATTGATGGAATCGAGATTGATTGTTGTCGACATGGTACAAAAATTTCGAGTGTGAAGTTCCGCTGGTTTGATAGATATCGTGTGACTGTTTGCGAAAATTGTTGCGGGGATGGAGAGGGGCTGGGAAGTGGAGGAGCGCGAGATCGCGCTGCAACTTGAATGCGGGCGGTGGGGGCGATCTCACTGTTGCCCGGGCTGTAGTGCTGACCAGGTGAGAACGTGCCAGTGAAACAAAAATTTGTGTTTTGAATTATCCCCTGTCGATAGCAAACGACTGGAGGTAAAATATTTAGGGCACTGGCGGTTAGCTTAATACATGTGCAAATAAGCCAACCAAACATTCCGACATGACCCACACTTCCGTGTTCAACACTAAAGGGTGGGGCCGAAATTTGGAGACTCCAACGGGGCTGAACGTCAAGTGCAATACGCAGTGTCGACTAGTTATGGGTCTAGTCTTTTTGTAAACACTAAAGAGTGAGCCAGATACCGCACAGTGATGTCGCTCAAAGCTGCACCTATCCTGACAAAATGATGTATGCTAACTTCCCAACTTGTATCCCCAAATTCCTAGTTTAGTATTGTCCTCTATTGTCAGTCGAATTTCACCATATACATGATAAAAACGATCCAACTGAACTGCTTCATTGCCAATCGTCACTCTGCCCTTGACGTAAAAAGGCATAACTACCATATAAGGTTTGCCGAGTATATTTATACCTGGGGAAAAAATCTGAATAGCAGGTCTTATGCCGCATGGTTTGAGTTGACGTTTCTTTCGACTGGGGTTATCCTATCTCGGGTCAGGTTCCACATTCTCTTGAACCTCAAACCAACTGGCAACCATGCACCCTCACCAAGGAAAGCTCTTCAATTTTAGCAATGACCTCCCTACCCTGCCCCTGCACCAGCATTGTTGCCGAGATCCGATCTGAAGGGATGATCAAAGATTCCGCCATACACCGATCGTTTTCGCAAGCCTCGGTATAGATAGCTTTGATGGATGAAGGTATCTCCAAAGATTCTACCAAGCTGTCTTCTAAATCGTTGCTATCCATAGATAAGCCTTCAAGTATGACACTTGAGCGGCTCAAGAGGCTGTGGAGTCGGAAAGGTCTTCGCAGTTGATCGAAAAATGCCTGTTCAGGGCGACATCGGGCAGAAATTGGTGCGGGGGGCTCATTCAGCGTTCTTAAAGGCGGGTGATCTCTCGGAGAGCTGTGCTTGTTTCTTCCGTAGTTGAACACGTCTTATCTTCGATTTCTTTTCAAAATTTCAGTTCGCCGATGTTTCTATTGCTTGCTGATATCGCAGCCTGATTCTATCGCTTTCCAAAGTCTTCAATATCCCGAAGATAGGAGGGGTTGGGATTATCCTCACGTGCTATCCGTGTCATCTGACCAACACATCACTTGACTAGCAGCCTAACCAACATAAAAGCTAACTGAGCAAAATAATTGTTCGTGCGCTGTTTAATTTCGAAAAAAAAAGATATATCTACCATGGAGAATGAGAGTACCTGGACAGATATTTTCTTCTCAGGAAGCTGTCCAAAAGTTTTTGAAAAAAGCAAACTTCCTGTTGTGAGGGATGTTTGCCACAACCCCCGATTGTAGATAAGATCCTACTTCCATAGTCCTTCTCTCCTCTCTTCTTTCTCTCTCCCCAGAGATCAATACATTCGGTTCTTTCGATCCCGGTGCTCTCTCAACACTTCCCATCACAAGCTTCCGACCTTTCTCTCCCGAAGACCCCAACTGGAACATTGGTCCCCAGATTGATACATTTAGACGACCAGATGTGAACCATATACAGGTTTTCTGGATTCGGATCAACGGACACAGGAAGTACATTACCAAGGTTGTAAGTAGAGATATCCATCCCTCATGAAACAATTTACGTATCTTGAAATGACTCTTAGCCAGTTTCCTCGTTTTTCCAAACAAGATGCTAAGATGCTACCTTTTCATTTTCGAATCTCACCAACCCCAGAAAGAATAGTCGATGCCTCGTATGAATTTGATAGATTCTACCGAGAAGCTCAGGCATACCATCAGATTGATTTGCGTTGTTCGCCCCGCGAAAGGATCTACTTTCCACAATTTTATGGTGCCCTCACCAATATACCAGAAGACCGATTCTTTTCTCGCGGTTGTGTTAGAAGCTATACAACCGAGACTGTGCTCTAGACAGATTTTCAGTGAAGACACCACTCATTTATCCAAAGATTTTCCAGCGGTCTTTGAAGCAGCAGCCAAAGAACTTGGAAATGGAATGCTTTCACTAAGTCCATTCGAACAAGATTGGTATCGTTCTTTGCTGAAAGATCGACTCCGTCGGGTAGATGCTCTTCATCGGATTGGAGTAATTCATGGTGATATTCATGATCTTCACTTCCGACTTCCAAACGATATTTATGACACGGTTCTCTACGATTTTTCTGAGTCATACACATTTTCCAAAAAGCAACCTTTCCAGGTGTATTGCGGAAAACCTCGATCTTTGACCCGCATATCCCACTGTGAACGGGAAGACGTCTTTTTTCATATTCATGATCGGTGAGATTAAAATTTTGAACATGAAATCGTCCTGGGCATACTTACTGATCAATGTTTAGAGCCGTATCACGAGACTTCTACTCTTATCTTATAGATTCGAATCCTCAGGCTTCCGCTGCCATTGATGAGGCATTATGGAAGCCTATTGAGCACGAAGAGGGATTACTGGAGTTTATGATCTTCAAGGTCTCCCACCGCCCAGATGGTGAGTCTCGCTCATTTTCCAATGAACATCCTCCCGAATTATTGATGCCAATTGATCCTCCTTCCAGGATTTTGCATGCCCACGTTGAATTCTATTTTCCCATTTCTTGATGATATTTGCCCAAAATCGGACCCCAGTTGGCATATTCGCCGAGGCAGACTTTTACATCATCATTCATCAATCTGGGTAGCTTTTCGCGATGAAACCTCGCCCCAAGCAATGACTTTTGATTGCGAGCCGCAGTTCGGATCGGTCGAAACGATGAAAGATTCCCGCTTTATGCTTTGTTTGATACCAAACTCATGGATTGTGACAATAGGTACAAGGCTTGCTTTTCTTCGGTCTTGTAAACTACGGGAATTTTGCTCACTTCTGATTTCGATAAAACATCTCGGGTTGATTTTTCAGCGCGATGAGTTCAGGAGCTTCTTTGAAGAATGATAGCTAGAGGCTGTCTAGCGAATCGTCAACATACCACAAGGGGTTCATTTTGGCTTTGTATGAAGTCAGGACTTTTTACATTACCCTAGTAACTACTCAAGTACTAGCTATTAATCATTCACAAAGGAGATCATCTTTTATACTAAGTATATTACTACTTTACATATATCCTCTAGAGCTTCCATACTTTTCCGCTTGACTCCTGATATTGAAAAAAATAAAATCACAAAAAAGAAATAACATACAGCAGTGAGGATTCGCTGGTGGTCACCCACTCAACTACTAACTCACCGGCGTGTGGCTAAGAGCATTAAACGCGGCCAGTAGTCGGGTGGGCCTCAAACTGGAAACTCACTTTTACGCCCGCGAAAGATTCATTGTCCACGCTTTGTGGCGAAAGTACCGCGCAAACCTCACCGTCCCTGGGAGACTACTTTCCCACAATTCCCGTTGCTTCGGGAATCCCAGGATGGAAAGGCCCTGAAGCGGAGGATGTGGAGATTGTGAATGCTTAGACATAGTTTTCTCATTCGGTAGATTGATGAGTGATCGCGGTGTTTGCTCCAGGGCGGTTCAAATGTTTCGACCTCGTCATTTCCAACCTCTTTCATAAGAAGCACTAGAATAAATCACGTATACGACTCTACGTAGCGGCCACAGTCCGCCAATCTAATTTCCATGATCACAAAATGTACATCCTATCACGAGTAACATTATCCAAAATACGTATAGTTAATAGAAGAACTTAGAAGGTAATTTAGCAATCCCCTACATATGCCATCCCACAATTAAGCTCTTGGTTTCCTCCAGTTTTTTTCCTTTAACTTGATTGGCATAAATTGTGAGAATCGGGGGGTTGGGTGCCTGAGGGATAGGGCATCCATTCTCGAACCCGGGCATCCAACCCTCCCAAATTCTCTCAGTAGCTCTCTCTCCCCTTTCTTCCCCTAGCTTTAGTCTCTTTAGTTGAATGGACCTTCCTTCGAAGCCCGCCGCCTCACACAAATTTGAAATTTGTGACATTGAGATCTTACGAGACTAAAAGTAAGAAGCTGAAAAAAAGAGCAAGAAACAGCCCTGGAGGCTAGAAAGCTGAATTCTTCTGGCTGAGACAGAGAGAGAGAGAGAGCTATCTAGCTGGCCCAGGGGAGAGGCCTACACACCCCACGCAACATATCCCCCTAGGCTCAAACCTGGTAATAAAAACTTCTGAAAAGGCCTCTATAAATGTATAAAAATACTCCTGAAATCAAACTCTCGATTAATGGTTGTAAAAACCTAGGAAATATGGAACTTCCGCTAAGTCATTTCCAAGGTTAACACCTCCTAGCAGCCTCAGGCGCATCGGACCATCGTCAGGGTAGGCTCTGGCAGCAGTGGTCCTTATGAATAATAACTGAGACTATATATACAGCGAGAAGATCAAGTCGATTTTCGAAAAAAAAGTAACACGAGTACACCAGATATTCCAAGAGGCACAGCCAGTGTCCACGACATAGTCGCCCAACCACAACGATCACGAATGAATCCACCAAGGAAGGGACCAATCATCGATCCCGCAGCAAAAGCACTATTCGAGATGCCGTATGCCAGCGCGGTAGCACCGCCCTTGCCAAATACCCCTGGGCTATGCGCCTCAAGATCTTCCACTAAACACGAAATCTCCACCATGATCGGCGGCTCCAAGAACCCAATGCATACACCCACCAGAGCGAGCAAAGCACACAATAGCACCTTGTCCCGCATTGAATTCTCCATGACGTAGCGCATGCTGACCAATACGGGGACGACGGCGAAGAGGGCTAAGGACGCCTGGAGTCGGCGATATGCAGGCCATCGGTCGATCAGACTCCCTGAGACAGGATCGAGGATGTTAGGGACCATGAGAGGGATAAAAATCAGCCCCTGGGCTGTTGGTTCCCAGTCAAAAGTATCCCGAACGAAGAGCGGAAGCACGCTGTCGAACGACGTGACGGTGGCCGAGACCAGGAGATACACCCACAGTATCACAAACATCCGTGGCGAGCTGAAGAGAAGACGGAACCTGCCGCCTCGACGAGCAGCTGGCTGCTCTATAGGCGCCTCGCTGTCATTGGAGGGTCGGGAATCTCTATTCCGAGCTTTTGAGTCGGCTCTTTCTTCCTCTTTGAGAGGGTTGGGATGATCGTCGTCAGGCTTTTCTTTTTCGTTTGGCTCTCGGTCATGATCACCTGGCTCTTCGGCTTTTGTGTTTTTCACCCCTCTTGGGTCTATCATAACCACTCGGAGGAGAAAGTCTATACCAATCAGCCCGAATGCGAGGGCAAAGGGGGCGTAGTATCCTCCATGATCGTAGAGAACTCCTCCTAGAAGGGGACCGGTCGTGGTGCCGGCAATGGTTGCCATGGACGAGTACCCCATTGCCTGGCCCAGCATGTCGTTGGTGAAGGTGTCCACTAGAAGAGCCATGCCAGTAGTCCAAATGACGGCGGCCGCCGCGCCTTGAAGGATGCGACCTATGATCCACAACGCAATATGGGAGCCTTCACATAACAGCCCCGTTCCAACGGCAAGGGCGGCAACTCCCACGAGAAATAGTACCTGACGGTTCTGAACTCTGTCCGTGATGTACCCACAGACGGCTAATGAGAGTAAGGAAGGATGGCCTTGCGCTGATGGGAACTTGGAAAAACCTACGAGAGACCACTAGGGTTGAGCCTCCATAAAGCGCGAGGAGAATTGATGTCCATTTCTGTTCTGAAGCATCGTTTGATCGTCAGCTACTGTATTTTGGGTAGCTGTGGCTGCCACAGGAGACTGCAGAGTGAGCCAAAAGAGTATGGCGTACGTTCTTCGTGAGATAGGCCTACTTTGTCATGTAGGGCGTTTGGAGCCATTGGGATGATCTGTATTCATGGCAAGTCAATCTTCTGCCTGATCAGAGAATCAAACAATACTCACCAGTCCGTAGAGAAGCATGTCCTTTGCCCACCCCGCAGGTATACGTTAGCATGGCCATTGTGAGGTGATCAGTGCTGTAATTACCGTGGCTATTGCAAAACACACGACGAACAATATGTATGTCCTAGAGGACCTCCATCGCCGTGTACCATATCTGTATGGTCTCATCCAGCTCAGAGGAGACATCATCTTCCACCCAATCACTGTGGTGGAATTCGGAGAGGAGGTGTGGTTTGTCAACAAGATCAATAAACGTTTTAAACAAGCCAAGAAGGTTGGGAGCAATAGTAATTAATCGTCTAACGCAATTGAGCGTAATTGGTCTGATTGGTAATTCTTTCAGATAGATCAGCTGAAGCAAGGGATAGCTGTTAAGCAGTTTCCACCAGCGAAAAACTCGGTTTTTGCGTTATTTGGTTGCCATATTTAGCAATAGATTGCTGACGGAGTATACATTGTAGCTTTGGAACCGAAATCTAGTTTGTTTTGGAGCAGAGAAGGCCCGAGAGGTCGCTATTTCCCATTTCTTTCCTAGCAATTATTCTTAGAAATATTATCACCCCAATCTACGATTTCATCCACTTTTCATAACCGAGGTAGATCTTAACCTAAAATTCATCGAAGATTTGATCAAGCCGATCTTATGTAGGTGTTATCTGACTTGTCGAGGCTAGTATTTGGCATTGCCAGGGTGGGTCAACTTATAGGTGAAAATCAGGGGTCGCGGTTCGTTAGTTCCGAGTGCCAAGTTTTGGTTTGCCGTCCCTGCGTTTGCCCTCTCAATATTGCTTCACCGCTTCAGCCCATTGCTTGCCAAGGCATATATAAGAAATAAGAGAGTGGAATTGATACGAGGGTGAATCTCAACTCCATGCACCCCGCAGGCCTCAACAAGGAGAACGGAAGTGTGCTCCAGGACACGTATACAGTGTTATCCCGGATGAAACATGCGGTGGGTGATGCAAGGCAGCACTGAGGTCAGGAATATCAGTTGGTCGGGAAATAATTGCGCGCCATGTCTCTCATCTCTGGGGCCTTCCTGACACGTCGAGTTCTGCATGCTTTAGTCTATCCAATCCAAACCAATTACGAGTAGCGCTGCTGGCATGTAAATAGCGCTGTGTATTAGCTTCTGAGCAGGATTTCTCATGTGATGTGGTACTGCATTGCATTGCATAAATGGTGACGAATCTTGATTAAGAGACGGTATTTGCCCGAAGGTGAAGCGGTTCGGCGCTAAGTTCGAGAGCTGAAGGAGCTTCATGTCTTATGCACAGAGCGAAGATACGTGTGATGATATGTCAACACGTACGGTGACGTACCTAGGTATACCTATAAAGTCCACTGCGCGCAATCGGATAATGTCTCGGTCGCCAAATTCCCTTTCCAGTGTGTTCAAAAGTTTCTCTTGCCATCGACGAGGAATCTTCCTACCATTATGAGAATATGTGTGCTTCAATCCTCGTATGAGGGTTCTGAGTCAAGCCTCCAAGAAGTAGACACGAATTTTCCCAATCCAGGAGCCTTCACGTCTCAACATTCGTTCGAGAACCGATTTATCCACAAGAATACGGCGAAACAGGAGATTGATGCGGTCATCGCCGAACAGTTTGACTTTTACATAAACTTTCTCTGGGGCACGTTGGATGATGATGTAGCTGGAATCCAGGCAAGTCGATACTTGGAGTCTTTGGGAGTCCCCTCTGCCGGCCTTCGCAGCTGGGAGCGCTCGCGGTCCAAGAATGACTTCTATGAGAGTGCCTCTCGGCGAGGTGCGCCTCCTGTACCTGGAAAGGAGAAGTTCCCTCTGTTTGTGAAGCCGGCCAATGGATGCGCAAGCCAAATGATCGACGACCAGTCTCTTTGCCACGATGAGGTCGAGCTTCAGAAAGCCTTGCGTCGCATCAATGGGCGCCTTCGGGACTCTCGACGGTGTAGAGCGAAAGTCCTGGGAAAGGAAGACCCGCAAGCGTACGTGGATTCGTACGATCCCGATAGCCGTTCGAGTGACGATATCGTTGTCCAAGAATACATCGACGGCCGGGACTACCTGGTCAGTGTCATCGCATTCGGAGAATCCGCCTTGGCTCTGCAGCCCTGTGTTGTCAAGATCAGGGACACACCAAACCGAGCCAATTTCCTTACATTTGACATGAAATTCGACGACCAAACCCGGTTCGAGGTCATTAGTCGTCAAGACAACCCTACTCTCTACGACCGTCTGCAGGAGGTGGCACTGGAGGCCTTCGAGACCGGTGGGTTTCGCCATAGCTATATGGGATGCGACGTGGACATGCGTGTCCGGTCCAACGGCGAGGTCTTTGCCATCGAAGTCAACCCACAGCCCGCATGCTTCCTTCCGGACGAGACCGGCTTCGCGGACGCGCCCATCACGGAGAGTCTTCCGGGTGGCCATATGGCGGTGGTGAACATCTTCGTTGCCAATTACTTCCTCCAGAGCGATACTCTCCGAGAATGGTCCAAAGTTGCCAAGATTTACGATGAGATGGCCACCGACTACGATGAGACGGTGCGGACCGTGAGCCAAATTGATGATATCATGCGCAGGGTTACGAGAAATTTCGATTTCGAAGGCACAGTGATTGACCTTGCATGCGGAACTGGCGGGTTTGGCCGTCTGCTTGCCGAGTGCCAACCCGGACGTCATCGCCATCGTGAGGGCGCAGTTGTTGGCTTTGATCTATCGCCGGGGATGGTGGACAGCTGTCGGACAATGGGCTTCTATAACGAAGTATACGTGAGCCGCATGCAGACTTGTCTTCTCGAGTATGTGACCCATACGAAAATAGACCATATCGTCTGCTTCTCTGCAATACACTTTCTCTCGCCCGAGGAATTTGCTTTTCTCCTCGTCTCCTGCTTCGTGATAGCGCAGAAGTCGATCACGATTGGAGTGGATGAAATTCCACATGTATACAACGAGAATCTCCACAAGCGAGGCTGTTCGTTTATGCACTCCTTCAACCACCTCCAGAACATGGAGGCGTTTGGAAAGCCTCGCGGCTGGACTCTGGTGAGTCGGCAACGCCAATTCGGATGGAATTCACCCGCCACTAAGGACGATGTGTACACTACCACCTTCCGGTTCGAGCGAGTGGATCCTCAGAGCATTCACGATGTACGCCTGGCGCGATTCGAGTAAAAGAATTATCATCTGTGCAAGGACGCTGCGCCATGCAGTCATCATACCTAAGATGGATGTTCTGAGCATCTCCTAAAGAGCATCAAGTACGGCTGAGCGGACGGGAAGCCCTGTTCTGCACAACCTGTGGTCGTATGTACTAAGTGTTAAGTTGAAGAGAAATATGATTGAACGAAAAGTCAGGATGAGACATAGGAGAAGAAGTAAGACATGAAGAGAGGGAAGATCTTTACACATTGGGGGCTGGGCCAAACCCCACACACACAGAAAACATAACTAGGACTTTGGGCTTCGAATGTTCCAAAATAGGCTACAGCACAATGGTGAATTGACCTTTTTGTTGTGTGGGGAGTTCGTCCCAACCCCGTTTGTGTTTGTAGATAGACCCTCTCTCCCGAGATCTCTTCTTCTCTCCCTCTCTCCCAGGCAGTCAATACGATCGGTTCTGTCCGCTTGTTCTTTTGCCCTGTGTGAGACGTCATCAAGCCCATCGGGCCTGCCATATGATGAGACCTAGCCCATCGAACCTGCCCGACGACGAAAAGCAAACGTCAACAACACCCCTAGAATTCTGTTTGCAGGTAAAACTAAACCCTCCAGCACCATCTATTCACGTCTACAAATGAGAGAAATCTCATCACCACTAAAGCGAAAACGGACCGCATCCCTTGGTCCGATTCAATGCGACCGTCCGACGAAAGTTCCAAAGAATCACAACTCCCTGATAAGGACAACACGCAACATGCCCTCGACTCCCCCCCGAGGCAGACAGCAAGCGGACACTTCCCACTCTCCCCAAAATGACCGCAGAAGATGTCCGAATGCAGATGAATTGTCGGCCTGCGAGGAGCCACCGGCTTTGACGATCAAACACAACCGCGGGTTTGAGCCGAGGGGGGGGGGGGGGGGGGGGGGGGCTCCCCAGAGGGAAAATTAAAAAACCCGAACAAGAAAAAAAAAAAAACCCCCCCAAGAAAGGGGGGCCCCTCTAGGGGGGGGGGAGAAAACAAAACACCCAAA